GCACTGCCTCTCAGGGCTTAGCAGGGCAAAAGACGCAAGCCAGAACCCCCTCCCCCCCCCTTTTTTTTTCTTCTTCTTTTTCTGAAACCTTTAGTATTAAAACCATTTTGAATCAGTAAAGGAACACTGAGAAAGACAAGTTTGCACTCTGTACTTTCGCAAAGCCCTGGTAATTCATGTCAGTTAGGTATTATCAGCCTGCAAATCCCGGCTCAGAGCACTCGCACATCAACAAAACACTTCTTATTTCTGTCACGTGCAGATGTGTGGATAACATCTGAAAAATAGTGTTTCTCTAGCAGAAGTGCAAATGGAACAAAATATTTGACATTAGCCGAGCTCATATCAAGCTTCTGTTTGTTTCTTAGGATTTAGCTAGAAGTTTAAAAAAAGCCTTTTTGCTTTTTTCACCCCCTTCAAATCTCAGCCCTGTATTGCAGTCTGCATCCCCCAGGAATAGCACTGCCTGCTCAGGGCTGGCGCTGCCTTTGTCCTGTAATTGAATTGAACCAGCTCTCAGACCTCTTCCTCCCAGACAGCCCTATCATGTGAGTGCACCGAAGATGTATTACACTAATACCTCATCAGAACGACAGAGCTATGATGATACATTAATGCAGTACATCTCTGTGGCTTTGGGGCTGTCCAGGAATGATAGGACTGGCGTTAGGCTCCACTCAGTCCTATCACACTCATGCACACACCTCAAGGGCAAGGGAAATATGTGTGTGAAGCAGAAGGAGGCAGGCATGAATACATTCCAACCTAACATCAGAGTAGTTACTAGGAAAGTGCAGATCTCCTCAATATTCATGAAAAAAACCTGTTATTCTGTGTGTGCTCAACAGTTCTTCCTTTGGTTGGGTGGTTGTTTTTGGGAAACACTTCAGTGCCACCTTTCTCTGGGAATGAGACTGGACGAACAGGGTACTCAAACCTACACTCCCAAACATGTGTGTGTGTATGAAATGTTGATCCTCGTATTTCAGGAAAAAAAATGGAAACTGGACTAGAAGTGATGGTAACAAAACGTTGGGAAAGGACAGACAGTAGGGAAGGTTTAGAATGGGTGAAACTGGAAGTCACCAGAGACCATAGACTGAGAACCATAAAGGCTGGATTAGATCCCCAAGATCAAGTCCAACCATCAACCCATCACCACCATGCCCAGTAAAAATGTCTCTTAATAGCACCTGAGTGGTGACTGCTCTCCCACTGGGATAGCAATGTGAACTGGTGCCACTGGCCACCACACTAGGACAAAGGAAGAATCAACCAAGGGAGGTAACATCTACATCAATGAGGAGAACGTAATTACTCACTGCATCTCCCTGCCACTAGATTGTCTGAGACCAACTACAGCCACAGAATCACAGAATGGCCCGGGTTGGAAGGGACCTCAAGGATCATGAAGCTCCAACCCCCCCTCTCCACCCACCACAGGCAGGGCCACCAATCTCCCCATTTAACACCAGCCCAGGCTGCCCAGGACCCCATCCAACCTGGTCTTGAACACCTCCAGGGTTGGAGGGGGCATCACAGCCTCTCTGGGCAGCTGTTCCAGCAGCTCACCACTCTCATAGCAAAGAACTTCCCCTGATATCCAACCAAAATCTTCCCTCCTTCAAATTAAAATCATTTCTCCTTACTAGGATGTATTTGAAGGATGTTAGGACAACTGAGGAACACTGAACATAAACCCAGAAGGAAGGAGGAAAGAGATGAAAGAGATGAAGAAGGATACATAAGTCCCAGTGTCTCAGAATTCATATTTCTTCAGTGTTCTACAAGTTCTGCAGTTGATCCTGCTATAACCTGCCTTGTAGGGGGTGGGACAAGGTAGGGGATGGGCTGCATGCTGCAGTGGGAAGCCAGAAGAGACTGTTGCATATGATCAAGAAGGGGTAGTCAACACTACCACGCTGCCATAGAACTACACAGAAGAAGGAGGTTCCTCTACTCAGTCACTACTTTTTCCTGCAGCTCTGCAACTCACTAGCAAAACATACACTGCCACATCCATTTGCACTGAGCTGCTGCTCTGTCCCTGTGCTGCACGCAGGGGTGGCCGTTGGGCAGCACAGTGCTGGGGTTGTTGGGGTCCTGCAGTGCTGTGCACAGCCAACCCTGCTTATCAGTGCTGGCAGCGCTGTGGCTCACACACAAACCAGCCGGTGTTTGTGTGAGATGTGTGCAGCTTCATCTAAAGCCGCTTGTTGGAAGTAAGACTGTGAAGCTGAGCACTCCAAGCAAAGCCGAAGGTGAAGCTGCTCCTGCAGTTGTGGCTGCTGCTCTCTGTGTGCGTACACAGTGCAGTGTGCCCGAGGCCCTGCGCAATGCAGCTCAGCACCGGCTGAGCTCTGCTTCTCTAAAGCATGTAACCTGCTTTGCATCTAGACAAACCCTGGGCTCCCCCTTCTCCTCAGCAGCCACAAAGCGGCGGTGCAGTGCTGGAGTGCAGGGTGCAGCCTGCGCGGCCCTGAGCTGCGTCGGGAACCTCCTCGTGGAAGGTCTGGCCAAGAGTGAGATGGGAGGAAGCTTCCATGCGTATGGCACCAGGGTTCTGCACAGCACTAACACCTCGAGTCTTCCGAATGGCTTTTGTTGCTACTGCTGGTGGCAGTGTTTGCAGAAGTTGCTTCTCAGAAATGGAACTGTAGCAGCGTGCTGCGCAAACAAGTGTGAAGAACTGGAATTACGTTTCTAGCAGACCTTAATTCTTTAAAATTCTGGTTTCGTTCTTAAACTATTGATGCTGCACTTTGCTCCTAAATGTCAGAACAAAATAAGTAATACCTGCAATTTATTCCGATGACATTTCAACAATACCAGATTTTCAGATTACAAACCGCGGCGACGTGTTCCTTACGGTGCTGTGCTGAATGTGTAGATTTGGTGGATTTACATAATGGCTTTGCATAATGAATATTTATATAATGAATGCATTTCCATAATGACTGCAAGTTAAACACGCACTGTAAAGATTACAGGGCAATAATTTATGTACTAAGTTAAAAATCACCTCTAAATACGTTTTATTTTTATTCCTCCAAAAAGTTCATTTTATCTCTTGTTCGGAAAAATGGAATCTGACCCAACCCGAGTAAAGGCTGCATCGATGCAAATCACGATAATATTTTGGCATTAGTCTACATTGAATCATTTGTATTCTGAGTTTTCCATTTCTTATCTTCCAGCAGCAGCTCTGACAAACAATTTCAGAATATTACAAATGCAATTCTTTAATATAATTTAGCACTGTGTTCTAGATGCGACACTTGTGTGTAATCCTCATTAGCGCCACCGGGAATTACGGGGGGGAAACTGATAGAAATTACAAAGTGCAGATGAAGCTCACGTGTAGATAAAGGTAATTTGCTGCAGGCATAATACCAGCCCATACGGCAACCTGGTGTTCTCAGCTCCTGCATTTAATTGGATTTCAGGGCTGTGTGGCTGTCAGTACAGCAGGGCGTGCAGCTGAGCGCAGGAACAGCATGATGTGACTGAAACACTTGCAGCACGGACTGCACTCTGCTCACTGCACGCCTGCTCCCAGCAGCACACTGGAAGCCATGGGCTGATGTGCAGCTGCAGAGCAGAGGGGAGCAAGGCTGTACGAGTGAGCAGCAAACCTAATACGGCCTCGATGCCATCCTGGAGAGAGGTGCCCACACACACCACCATTGTGCTCCTGCCCTTAGGGCAGTGCCATCAGCACAGCACAGCCCACAGCTCACAGCCCTCCTCTCCTCCCCTGCCCTTGGGCCAACACGTGAACACAGGGCTCACTGAGAGCTCTGTTCTCCAAGCACCAGCTCTGCCAGGACTCAAGGTGGGGGAGTTCTGCTCATCAGTCTGCGTGGACTCATTCTCCTCTTCTGCTATTTTCCTCTATAGGACAATTTTAGCAGCTCCTTTCTGTAAAAACCCTAATGCTTTATGCTATTACTCTAAAGTATCACTGCAGTTTCCAATAAAATTTTATTTGACATTTAGTTAAAATCCATTTTTTGCTGCAGCTGATTTTCCCCCTGTCCCCCAATGGATACTTCCAGCAGAACTCACTGTCATTGTCTTAAAGGTCAAAAGTTAGGTTTTTTTCTGACTCTCACTTCAAAAAGGAAACTGCTGTTGGATGACGACAGCCCGCAGAAAGCAGCAGCCCATGGAGCCGGCCTTCCCTGCAGCACACGGGCCCCTCAATACAGAGCTGCTCCACAAAAACTGGCACAGCAGTGGGGATCCCCCAGGATGGGCTGCAGATTGTAAGGCTGAATGGGAGGGAAATCTCCTCAAATCTGTGCCATGATATGTTTCAGCTTTCACTTCTAGAGAGCCCTTGGATTGGCTTTAGTGTGAGCTGATCATATCATAGAATCACAGCATGGCCTGGGTTGCAAAGGAGCACAACGCTCATCAGTTCCAACCCCCTGCTGTGTGCAGGTCCCCAACCAGCAGCCCAGGCTGCCCAGAGCCACATCCAGCCTGGCCTCGGATGCCTGCAGGGATGGGGCATCCACAGCCTCCTTGGGCAGCCTGTGCCACTGCCTCACCACCCTCTGGCTGAAAAACTTCCTCCTAATATCCAACCTAAACCTCCCCTGTCTCAGTTTAAAACCATTCCCCCTTGTCTTATCACTATTCACCTTTATAAACACTCACTGCCCCTGCAGCCTGTTGAAAAGGACTCTTGCTCAAATGAGCTTTGGCTCTTCAGGCTGAGACAGCCACTACCTTATCCTATATCCCTGGGGAGCCACCCATGCCCCAAGGAAAAGCATTCCCTCTTACAGGTGCCTTTTTTTGCCCCTTCCCATGTTACAGCTGCAGTATGGCTTTCACTCCTGTGAGCTTAAATCTGATGATGCTTTCCTTCTCTATGCCTCTGGTCAGACACACATCCTGGCCAGCATGCAAAAGCAGTGCTGTCCCACCTCTGAAAGCTGTTACTGCTGGGACTCAGCAGGAAGCTCCCAGTCACAGCTCCGGGCACTTACCAGATGGAGAGATGTGTCTCCAGGAAATGGAGGGCTCTGGTTTCCCGGTGGCCAAACACACGAGAGTAACATTGCTGCCTTCGTTCACAACGATGTCACTCGAAATACGAAATATCTTCGGAGAAACTGAAAGGAAACGAGGAGAGGTTGTAAGGGAATGCCATCGAGTCAGTGCTACTGAGACGGTGCTGCCATCAGAGCAGAGGCTGAGCAGGCTGTGTCTGTGCATTGCCATGGCCACAGAACCACACAAACCAGCTGGGAGGTCACAGTGCAGAAAGAAACAACAGCAGCGTTGTGAAGGTGTGACCACAGCCATTTCAATCACGTCTGCAGCACAGCCTGGGGACTTGAAATATTGCAAATAGGAAAGCAGCAGTTTCCTCTGTTTTGTACAGAACAGGGATTGCTATGAGACCCCAGTAAAGTGCTGCTGATGGATGGATGCTTCCATTTGTGAGAAGGCTGAGCTTACTCGTGACAGCTTGGAAAGAAAATGTAATTAAATTTTTCTTGTACTTTAAGAAAGAATGGTGTTTACATCCATGTATACAGAGGGAGTTGTATCTGTTCAACAAGGAGACCAAAACAAACACATTTGTTTCTATTGTGTTCCTTTCAGGTCTGCAGTATTTGATAAAGAAAGATTTCTTCCCTAAACCCCACTGTTCGTCCATCTGCTCATAAGGCAGAGCCCCACACGGAGCAAAAATAGCAGAGTTGTAGGGAGCCTGCAGTTCCGGAGAAATAAGGAAAGAAATAAGTGTTCCAGAGCTGTGGGGATGTGGCACTGAGGGATGTGAGCAGGGGGCATGGGGGGGCTGTTGGGGATCTTGCAGGGCTTTCTCAACCTCAGTAATTCCATGGCTCTATGTTTTTATGTGTCTATGTTCTGTGCTTTGGGATCCCCACCTGCAGACGTTCTCCAACCCTTCCATGGGTCCATTGAAGTTAGTGCATCAGAATGAGTCAGGGTCAGAAAACTTCAAGGAAGGTGGAAATTCCCTGTGCTTGCCCATGGCTACGCATTTGTGAGCAAAGAAAATTAAAAGTCTTTGCAGCGTATGGTTAATTAGCAAAGAAACGTTGTCCACGGGGAGTCCAAAGGTCTGGGAAAGGCCTTTCCAACTTCCTATGAGAGTGAAGGTCGGTGCTGCTATCCTTTGAAGTTCAAACAGATCTACACACAGCCACTGAAACAGCAGAAGCCGCCTGATCTCAGCAGCTCACTCACAGAGGCAGCAGTCCCTTCCTCCTGTCCACTTGGTGCCCAGGGAAAGCACGCAGTCCTTACACAGCATTTGCAGGAGCTGAACCACACAGTCAGAGTTGCCTCCAGGCACTGACAACTCATTGATCAGAGTTCAACCCACAGGGAGCCGCTGCCCAACCCCGCTCTGCACAGCCTGGTGCTGCAGGGCCGGGGCACACAGCTCTGTGCTCTGAGCAGCCCCTGCCCTGAGCAGCAGCTCTGAGTGCTGAGCACACAGCAGGAGGGATGGAGCTGCTGCCCAGCTGCCCTGAGCCTCATCCCGGCTGAGACGCAGAAATCCTTTGGAGAGAAGAATATCACAAGCAGTGCAGCAAACACCGCGGCTTTATCCAGCCTACAGCATTTGGAAAATATCCTCCTAAGCCTGAGCCACGTATTTCTTATTCCTCCAGAAAAAAAACATACTTGTGGGAAGTTAAGTGAAGGAATTCAGTAACTCAGCACAGCCCTTCTCACAAATAAATACTTACAATTGGTGTCTATCTAGAACTGTGGGAATGTCTTCCAGATACAACAGATATCACAGCCTAAGACTTCCAACAGTTTCTTATTCCAGGTTCTGCACCCTTGATGGTAGAAAAATAGGGATTGGCACCTGCTTCAGCACTGTTATGCAGTGCTGTGAGTGGGTTTGCACCCAGCTGCTACACGGTGCTATTTACCCCAGAAAGTTGTTTGCTGTAAATGGTCACCACACAGAGGGGCCCTGGCTGGAACGTGCCCTGCTGCCCCCGTGGCACCTGTGTGCCCCTGGAGCTCAGCCTACGTCAGGCTCAGGGTCAGAGCAGACCCCATGTCTGTTGCCAGAGGTGGATGCATGAGCCTCCCACTCACTGCTAAGTGCATGGGCTGAGGCTGACGGGTAAAAACCTCTTAGAAGGACAGCAATGTGAATTTCAGGTGTGCTCAATTGCAGTCCTTCTGCATAAGGATGAGGCAGAAGAGCTGGCTCATATCAGCACTCAGTCAAATCTCCAAAAGGACAGGTTTCCAAAGAGAACACACTGACAGCACTGCCATAGGCAGGAACCTTGCATTGAAACAACAGGGCTTCGTTCAGCTCGCACTGATGAGCATCTCCTTTCCAAGACAAAGATCAGCACGCTCTGCTCTTTCCACCGCTGCCTCATCCAAGCACTGCCCTCCTCTGCCCCTGCCCTCGCACGAGGCTCTGAGCGCTCTTTCTCATCCACTGCCTCCCGTCTGTGCTCACATGAAGCACAGAACACAGCCCTGTTATCTGGGGGCAGCCATGGCTGAGCGCCGCTGTTGCCTTCTTTCTTGTAGGCTTTGGTGCTTTGTTCAAATCCCAAATCTACACCGTTTTGTGAAGTGCTTTAATTTTGATAAAACCATGTGTTCCAATGGCCAATAATCAGAAAAACTTTACCCGTCAGTGTGACGTGCAAGCTGTGGTTATGGAGCACGTGTGTGTGCTGGGACTGAAATGCTGCAGGTTTGGGGAGCACCTGGCCGGAGGGGCAGCTCGGGACCATTGGCCTCAGCTCAGCCATTCCCAGCACCAGCAGCTTCCCAGGAGTTGGCCGGAAGGCTGTGCTGCAGAACTCTGGCTGTGCTTATCCTGGCAGTTCCAGGTGATGCTCACACAGCCACTCTGGGGAAGCGCTTCCAGCAATTAAATACCCCTCACTGCTGGGAAATAGCATCTTTCTTCAAAATTGCATTTCACTAAATTCAGCTTTCAGAAATCAGATCTTATTATGTTTTTGTCTGCAAGACTGAACATTCCCCTTACTATCAAGTATCTTTTCTATGACTAAGGACCCATAAAACATGATAAATCACCTCTTCATTTTTCTCTGCAGATGATTTAAGCAGTACAAGCTTAATTTTCGTTAGGCTTGATAGATAATATTTGTTTCTCTCTTTTGAGGACTGTCTGAATCATCGTTGACACGTGAACAGTGGAACACAGCGTAACAGTCTATTGAGAGCCTTACCAGTGCTGCGTGCAGAAGCACACTGTGTTATCTCAGCTCTACTCCTCTTTCTCAGTGCTGCTGTCCTCGTCCAAGCTACCATTCCTTCCATCCCCATCATACAGGCTATTGTCCCTGCCATCCCTGCTATCTCCATCATCCTTACCACCCCTATCACGCCTACCATCCCCACCATCTGGGCTATTGTCCTTGCCATCCCTCACATCTCCATCATCCTACCATCCCTATCACCCCTACCATCTCCATCATCCCTACTACCCTCACCATCCAGGTTACTGTCCCTACTACCTCCATCATCCCTGCCTTCCCTACCATCCCCACCATCCAGGCTATTATCCCTGCCACCCCTACCATCCCTATCACCACTGCCACCCCCGTCACCCTCCAGCTCTGGCCCTTGGCAGCGCTGGTGAGGAACGGCAGGTCTATGGGGATGCAGGTGGCTTTGCTGGATGTGGGGTCTTATTGCACTCTCTTGCGTTGTTAAAAACATCACTTAGACACAAGCATTGAATTATTATTCCTACATTATTTACAAATTTCCAAATTCCTTGGGAACGATGAAGTATCCCGAGGCTCCTGCAGGCCGCATTGCACATCAGTTCCTCCCTCCTGATCACTGCCATAGGAATCTCTCTGCTCCCCGCACACCATGCAGACACGTGGGGTGCCTGGAGCAGCAGCAGGCAGAGGGGGCTCTCCGGCCAGGAGCTACAAGCATGTTTGAGCTCATAGTTCTCCCCAGAGCCCAGAGTTATACGAGCCATTATTGTGCAGGGGACTGACAGCGAATCTGTACTTCACTGTGCCTCATTTCTCATTTTCAAGGACTGGAATTATATTCTCAGTTACATTCAAGTGCACATAAACGATGCCGAGTAATAAAGCTTACTGCTGTCACGGGAATGACTGCAGGACTGAACTGCTCCTGTAGATGAACGTGGGAGAGGATGACTTATTTCCATCACAATTTAGAGTCATGAGGCAAATAACCTGGAGTCAAAGCAGTGCATCCAGCCTCTCTGCTGCAGCGTGTGCTGCCATGCTGCTCTCTGCTGGAACGTCCTGCCAGCTCCCAGTGCCTGCATGTCTGCATGGGACTGCAGCTGCACCCAGCTGGGAGCCTTGTTGCTTTGGGAAGCAACCCTGGGAAGGGTGATGGCAAGCCCTAGCATACATTGGTTTAGTGATGTTTGCTAAAATTAAGGCCGCCAACTCCATGTTGAGATTATAATGTAGTAATTCCTCTCATATACAGAATATTGACAGTTCCAGTGGAATGTATAAAAACTATGAGAAGAATTTGGCTATAAGCACAGAAATGTCACATGTGGGAGTTGGGAAGAGGAATTTTGCCACCAGAATTTGAGGAGTCCCCGCAATCCCCAGTACCCCAAAGTCCTTCAGCCAAACGCTGGGCAGCACACCTGGCCTCTCTATCTGTAGTGACCATTTTTGCTGGTTATAAATTCATAATTTAACAATAAGTCAGCAGGGGGAGGGAAGATGCTGCCCTCAGCAGCTCAGTGGCCGAAATTAATTCATTGGCTGCTCCACCTGTGCAAACACTGATGGCTGTGGGCAGGCAACCAGCAGTGGCACAGGGGTGTGCAAAACCTCCACTCACTGCATTCCGGGTTGTCCCGTGCCACACTCTGCAGCACTGTGCTGGAGGGCAGCAATGCTGCCTGTGAGCAGAGCTGCAGGAGGGAAGCAGCACAAATGCAGGGGCATAGCAGCACCAAGAAGTGCAGGGGTAAGGCACAAATGCAGGAGCACAGCAAAAATGCAGGGGCACAGCACCAGTGCAGGAGCACAGCATCCATGCAGGGGCACAGCACCAATGCAGGGGGCTCAGCACCAATGCAGGGGGCTCAGCACCAATGCAGAGG